AATGTGATCAAGCAAATGCCACTTTATTAGCGGACTAACGCGGTTAATATACAATTCACAACGTCCTTGTTTTCTAAATGCTCTATATTGATTGGCTATTAACAACAAACACACGCAGTCCATGCTCCTGTTTACACGCTCTTTTCCTTTGCTGATTCGCTCTTCTTCTCCCCATCTGCAGCCTGGGTTTGTTTCTGTTTTCAGTGACATCTTATATCTTGAATAACAGAAGTGAACATGTCATTTTAGACGGTACTGTAGAACAACAGATTATGTAGTAAGGATCTTCTTTGGCTAGTCAGAGTAGTAGACCTTCAGCAGGTCGATCAGCATAACTAGGAAGGGTATTTTGCTATTTGAAGCTTTAGTCAAGTTTTTCACTAAGTTTGGTGTCTTACAGAACGTCCTCATCGTGAGACATACAGTCCAAGCCTCCTTGCCGCTTCGGAAATTCTCGGTCCTTTTTTACTGGGGAAAGGGTAAAAGTTCACTTTTTTGCAGGCCGGCGTGCATTTTTTAGAAGAAATTTGTTGATGTGTCCAAACTGATGAAGTGGCTGATTTCAGAGGAGGCTTTTGGCAGGTGCTGGAAATGTTGCTGCGATTCTCTTCACTGAAACTGCTCAACGTGCTTGAACTTCCAAGTTGACTGAGGGCGGATAGTTCGCTTACTCCGTCTGACTCCTCATGTTGCAGTGTTCCCTTTCCCTTGGAAATCAGTCTCTCATCGTCGTAACCACATGGTCCATTCTTGCACCTGGTAACTCCTTCACAAGAAGCTTGCCCCAGGCGGTGAATTCCCAGGTGGGTTCGCCACAGGGAGTTGTCTTGTACGTTGCCACTGCTGGTCACCTCCAGTCTGACCTTTCTGACGGGAGCACATTCGGTAAATGACTTTGATCTCCTAACTGTTTTATTAACTGAAACAGCATTGACCATCGATTCCTGGAGAACGGATTCATGTTCACCTACAAGAGAAATGCATATGTGGACGTTACTACGGTGGCAAGTATTAATTTCTGTGGCATAATGTTACTTTACTGATATAAAACCTGTAAAACCTTACCTCAAATATATTAATTTGTTTCAAATTCATGCTAGTGTTTCCCTGCTGAGAAGCTTATTGATAGAAACATAAGATCCCCTTTCAGTGAAATGAATAAAACCCCAAAATGACAGAAAAACAATTCACTTTTACCTCTCTTGAAGCTGAGCATGAAAAGAACAAAGCTAGGAGTTATTAAAGATTTAAAGAAATAGTCTTTACATCTACATTTGCATTTTTTCCTATAAATATAATCATACCTGTTTTAAATACAATCATGTGTGACTGCAGTTTTTGCTTCTGTTTTATATGGTCGTACTGCTCCTCAAGTAAGCTTACATCCATCCTGCTTCGCCGCTTACCGCAATCTGAAGCCTGTTGCTCTAAGGTATGAGTCACTGAAAAAATACCAGTCATGTATTTGTAAGCCTTCCCCATCTGTTCCAACAAGGAAGAAAAAGTCACGCAGAAGCAGACATTCCCTTCATTGTGTTGGCAAAAAAGGAAGTCAAGTTTGAAGCACCTGAAATCTCCCTAAATAAAGAAGTGACTTTCCCAAGCGCAGCGACCTCTGAAGTTGTGGGTTTCAGTCAGCTTGTTTTCATGCAGCGCGTCTGGAGCTACTGCAGAGTTCATGATTATAACTGGATAGTTGGCTTTAATGTTGACTTAAGGCTGTGAGCATGTGAAGCTTTGCCAAACAAAACAGTGAAATACAAAACCCCACTGAACACAGTCAGGTGCACCAAGGGCTGGGCAACACTGGTTTATAATGTAATGTTAATTCTTAAAGGGATGTCGTCATGGTGACCTCCCCAAGACAGTAGTTCCACCAGGGAACTCTTTCTTCAGGTTTCTTTCTGTGTGGTTTGTATTTTCCCCTCCACTCTCTCTTCTTTAACTTTCATCCAGTTTCATTCTTGCTGCTGCTTCTTGGAGCAGGGGGTTGGAGGGGAGGATTTGTTCTACCTTAAAAATTTTATGCTTATTGCTCCCCTTTCAGAATGTGCTAAAAGTAATCAGGCCTGGGTGCAGAGTCAAAACAGTACGTACCAGTGACCCTTAGACGCTGGTGGTAGGAATGCCTTACTGGGACTCATTTAAGTTTTCTGCCTTTCTATAAAATAAAATATAGAAGTAATCATTTTGTTACTGCTTGCTGAACAAACTCTTCAAATGCATGGTAAGCCACATGTTTAAACTTACCATACGTGTAGTAGTATTATCTAATAATGAGGCAAAATTTTAAAAATGTATGGTCTTTGATCATCTCCAATGAAGTACGAAACTATGTCTGGACTATGAACTACAAGTTTCTGTCCCTGAAATTGGTCCATCTGATACTGTTTGAGAGCCCCAGAGAGTGGTGTGTAGAAAAAATAACACAGTTAAACAGTAGTTTTAATAAAATTGTGCATCTGCTAGGTTCCTTTCCATGATATTTTTTCTATTTTCACGGACCTAAGAAAGTACTGTGGTACACTTAGAGCTGTGAATCTCTTGCAATGGGAGCATAGGTTCTGATAGATCACAGAATCACAGAATGTCAGGGGTTGGAAGGGACTTTTGAAGATCATCTAGTCCAACCTTCATCCCAGCATACCTAACCACTACACCACAGCCTCAAGTGCTAGATCTACTTTTTTTTTAAACACCTCC